GGGAAAGGAGACTTCAGAGAGGAGTACATGAAAGGTAATAGCCCCATTGTTATGGTTAGTCCTTTTGGTGATATCCACATTCAGTCCCTTTGAAGTTGAAATGGAGGAAGTGAGAGCCATAAAACCCCTCTGCTCATCTCCCTCCCCCTTCATCGTATGACAGAATCCAGAGAGGGCAGAAATGGGGTTTTCCATAGTCAATAACTAGAGATGAATTATGATTGGATTCTGACACCAGGCAATGTATGAAGAACAGGTCAAGGAGATTATGTTAATTTGGAGTAGGGATTTTGGTTTCAGTATCGACCTCCATATTTGGCAAGAACTGTGGGAAAGAAATAGGAAACTCACTCTAGCTACCTCGTACAAGGAAAATCTTTACAAGATGTTCTATAGATGGCACTTCCCACCCATAAGGTTAGCCAAAATGGGTTCAAATATCTCACCTTTATGCTGGAAATGTAAATCAGCAATAAGATCATATTACCATATGTGGTGGGTGTTGTGTCCTGAGCCTGCAAGATGCAGGCTCGGGATGTTGCAAGAGTCCCGGGCAATTGCAGAAGCTGCCTGGGACCAGACTGAGCGGCGCCAGCCTTGTGCGCATGCGCAAGGCGGGAAAAGCCCACCTCATGATTGGTTGAAATTGTCCGGGGATCAGAGGGTATAAATAGAGGCCTGCGTGCCTCTGCTCTGGTTGTTCGTAGAGTGAAGCAAGCAATAAAGATTTGTTGGAGATGATTCGTCTCAAGCGCCATTATTCTCCGGACTTAACACTGGCGACGAAGGTGGGATACAGTCTCTACAGCTAAGAAAGGCTAGAAGACTCACCCAAAGAAGTCCGGGAAAGAAACGGCGTGGAAGTCAGCGTTATCCTGCTAGTACGAAATCGCTGGAGGGTGCGTGTGACTGAAGGAGAAGAGAACTTGATCATCGATCATGGATAAAGTCGGGCAATTAGAGGAATTCGACGTCTCTCACCCCGAGAGGTGGGAATCTTACGTAGCAAAAGTCGAGACGTATTTTCGCATAAACCAGATTCGAGAGGAAGGCTTAAAGGCTGCCACATTGTTGTGTGTTTGTGGGCTAGACGCCTTTGAGATCGCCGAGAGCTTAATCTCCGCAGACTCGCTGGAAACGGTATCGTACTCCGACCTCAAGAAAACCTTAAAGGAACACTTCCAGCCCAAGCAATCAGTCATGGCTTGGAGGCACACATTTCAACAGAGAGATCAGGAAGTTGGAGAATCAGCAAAAGACTATGTTGCGGCCTTGAGAAGAGCAGCTAAACCGTGCGACTTCAAGGACTTAGAAGAAAGACTTCGCGATCACTTTGTATGCGGACTGAGAAACACAGAATTGCAGCAGAGACTGTTCGCCAGGGAAGATGTTTCCTTCCAAGATGCTCTGAGAGAGGTTTCGGCTGAAGAAGCTGCCGGCGGGGTGGTCAAGAACATGCGGCCCAAGAAAAACGCTCCTGAGACCGCCACTATTCACAAGGAAGACGTGCGCGAGGAGTCGGACAAAGATCCTGAAGAAGAGGTGGATAAGCTTTACCAAGCTGCTGGAAGAAAGTCCAAGGATCGTCAGGACAAGTGCCCAGCTGAGCTTCGTTGCCTTGGATGTGGTGGACGCCACAAGCGAGCAGAATGCCGGTTCCGTTCCGCCATTTGCCGAGCGTGCGGGAAGAAGGGCGACATCGCTGCGGTCTGCCTGGGTCGACAGAAAGTACAACCGAAGGAAGAATTGATTCTGAAAGGTACCAGGGTGCCCAGCCAAAACAGGGTGGGGTTCTGTGCAACACGCCGGAACATTTTAAGAATAGGCACAAACAAACCCCTTTAAAAAAAAGCTAACACTTAAAGTGAAATTGCAGGGAATTCCATTATCGATGGAACTTGACACAGGGTCTGCCCTATCCATAATTTCCCTCAATACATTTCAAAAAATCTGCAGCAGCAGTGGCTAGAGAGTTTCCTTAAGGCCCTCTAATGTAATCCTTACGGATTTCCAAAATTCTAAAGTGTGCATTAAGGGGGAGGCCACCCTTAAGGTACAGTACAAGAATTTTGCAGGCCCCCTAGACGTGTTGGTTGTGGGGGATGAGCGAACGAGTCTCATTGGACTCGATTGGTTTGAGGCCTTGGGAATTCAGGTAACTGGGCTGAATAAGTTGCAAACACAGACCCTTGCAGACGTATGCAAGAAGTTTGCAGATGTGTTCAGTTCTGAACTTGGGTCCTACACGGGACCTCCTGTTTCACTTAAGTTGGATCCAACGGTACAGCCCATCAGGGTTAAGCCTAGGAGGGTACCATTTGCTCTTAAGAGCAAGATTGATGCTGAGCTGGACAAGTTGCTCCAGCAAGGCATTCTAGAGCCTGTAGATTCCAGCCCATGGGAAACCCCCATTGTAACGCCTTTAAAGGCAAACGGGGACATCCGGATTTGTGCTGACTACAAATGCACTCTAAACAAGGCCCTACAGCAACATGCTTATCCTGTGCCTGTAGTGAGCCNATGCAGATGCTTTGAGTAGGCTGCCATTACCTACTGTGGAGCCTGATCCCGCTCCTGCTGTACACATATTGTCAATTCAGGAGTTGCCTGAATGCCCCCTCAATGCTAGGGATGTGGCTGCTGAAACTGCCACTGACCACACGCTCAAACGCGTGCTGTCATGGGTTCTCTCTGGGTGGCCTGACAGGTGCCCTGCAGACGAATTTCAACGTTTTTGGGTCAAGAGGCACGAGTTGTCCACTTTCAATGGCTGCCTCCTCTGGGGATCGAGAGTTGTGATCCCGGCCTCATTGAGGGCTAGAATTTTGATCTCATTACATGAGGGTCACCCTGGAATTGTAAGGATGAAGGCGCTTGCTCACAGCCATCTGTGGTGGCCTGGCATTGACCGGGCCATCGAGTCCCAGGTACATGGATGTCATACCTGCCAACAGTCCAGGCCTGAAATGCCCTAGGCCTCTGTACACAGGTGGGAGGAAACACACACTCCATGGTCTAGAATACATGTAGATTACGCTGGGCCCTTTCAGGGTCAATTCTTCTTGGTTGTTGTTGATAACCATTCCAAATGGCTGGAGGTCGTGCCTGTGTCTTCTACCACAGCCGCCAAGACTATTCAAGTGTGAATAGTGATGGTTACATAATTAACTGTTGAGTTAAGTCACACAGTGTGTGTAAGGTGTGGGACTGTTCCGTCGTACAGAGACCCAGTAGCCCTACATCATTTACGTAGAGTCAACCAGCCAGAACCTCTAGTTCAGTTATTGCAATTAACATGCTCACCTTACGTAATCTGCAAGGTGTTTGGGAGGGCCTTTGACCCTGAGCGACCTTCTTGGACCTGGGGAACTTGTAGTGTTTTCCCCGTTGCTTCCCAAACTAGGTGAATTGCCCTGTGGTTGTCTTGTGACTTCTGTTTGACTTTCCTGCCCATCTCCTAGGCTTGTGAAGTCAGAACTCTGTTGATCGCTATACCTGGTTGACCTACCACCTATGGAGTTTTCCAACCCCTCTGAACTCATCTCCATGTTTCCTGACGGAGTGTGGTTTTCCTGGCTCCTTCCTGTAGTGTTAGGGTCTAGGGATGCCTCCCTGTTAGCCCTTATGCATGGGGAAATCCTTCTATGAGCCATTTCAGCAAAGGACATGTTTCCCCTCTGTTTTGCCTGCTCTCTTGCATGTTGTGAGTTTTGAGTATGCTCCCAGTTATTCTCCGTGTCTGGAGTATTGTTTGTGAGGTGTGGATAGTTAGTATACCTCCGGTCGGACTCCCAGGCTTGAGTGTGTGTGGGGGTGTCTGTGTGCCCCCGTCCCCATGAATTGCTACCTGAATCTCCTGTGGAACTTGGGTGTTGAGAGCCCGTGTCGTTCCCCACAACCGTTGTTGGCAGCAGATTCTGATTCTCAGAATGCATTCCCCATTCCTCCTCCCCCCCTAGAGGAGACTGAGGAGGAACCCCAGGTGAGTCCCGCCTCACACGTAATGGATCAATGTGGCGGCGAAGAACACGGCCATCTTCCAGGGACACCTCGTAGGACAGAGGCCCCGAGACCTTGCAGACCACAGCCAGGCCTGTAGTTCCTGGCCCAGACAGGATCGCCTTCATGCAGGACCCATGGTGGGTGTGGCTGAGACACCTGTGAAGCTACACGCTCCGGATGCAGCCTGTCCAATTTAGTCACGAGCCGATGACGCCAACGGAGTTTGGCCGGGCACTTACCCGTGGCAGTGCACGGAGTAGTACGATGGGCTAGAAGAAAGTCAGCCAATCTGTGATGCCAATTGCCATAAGTCAGTTTCTTGAGGGCGTCCTTGGCGATGTGGACCATCCGTTCAGCCAGACTGTTGGTGGAAGGATGGAAAGGAGCCGAAGCAACGTGGCGGATCATGTTCGCCTGTAGGAATCCCTGAAACTCAGTAGAAGTAAATTGAGGACCGTTATCTGACACCAGAACATCTGGCAGCCCGTGTGCAGCAAAAATGTTTCTCAACACTTGAATAGTCTTGGCAGCTGTGGTAGAAGACACAGGCACGACCTCCAGCCACTTGGAGTGGCTATCAACAACAACCAGGAAGAATTGTCCCTGAAAGGGCCCAGCGTAATCTACATGTATTCTAGACCATGGAGTGTGTGTTTCCTCCCACCTGTGCACAGGGGCCTGGGGCATTTCAGGCCTGGACTGCTGGCATGCATGACACCCATGTACCTGGGCCTCGATGGCCCGATCAATGCCAGGCCACCACAGATGGCTGCGCGCAAGTGCTTTCATCCTGACAATTCCCGGGTGGCCTTCATGTAATGAAATCAAGATTCTAGCCCTCAAGGAGGCCGGAATCACAACTCTCGATCCCCAGAGGAGGCAGCCATTGAAAGTGGACAACTCGTGCCTCTTGACCCAAAAACGTTGGAAATCCTCCGCAGGGCACCTATCAGGCCAACCTGACAGGACCCATGACAGCACGCGTTTGAGCGTGTGGTCAGTGGCAGTTTCAGCAGCCACTGACCCTGACCCCAATGCTGCTGAAACAATGCAGTTTCAGCAGCATTGAGGGGACACTCAGGCAACTCCTGAATGGACAATATGTGTACAGCAGGAGTGGGATCTGGCTCCACAGTAGGCAATGGCAGCCTACTCAGTGCATCTGCATGACCCATTTCCTTACCAGGCTTGTGGACCAGTGAATAGTCATAAGCTGACAGGAAGATGGACCAACGCAGCATACGAGGGGACAGGATGCGAGGTGTTTGTTTGGATGTAGTGAATAACCCCAGCAAAGGCTTGTGGTCAGTAAAGACCGTAAAGTGGCAGCCATAGAGAAAGTCATGGAACTTTTTAATTCCAGCCACAATAGCCAACGTCTCCCTATCAATTTGAGCATAGTTGCGCTCAGCAGCAGATAAGGTCCTAGAATAATAAGCCACAGGGACCTGAGTCCCATTAGCCATCAAATGGCTAAGTACAGCACCCACACCGTAGGGGGAGGAATCACAAGCCAGACACACTGGCAACTGCTCATTGAAATGAGCCAACACTGCATTGGATGTAAGCAAGGCTTTAACCTCATTGAAACTGGCCTCATGGACTTTGGTCCAGTGCCAACAAGCATTTTTGTCAAGAAGTCTGTGCAAAGGTTCAGCAATAGCAGCTTTATGAGGTAGAAAAGCATGATAAAAGTTCAGTAACCCCAAAAAGGCTTGTAATTCGCCCTTAGACTTGGGGCTTGGAGCCTTCTGAATAGCTTTGAGCTTAGCATCAGACGGGTGGATACCCTGAGCATCTATCCTGAATCCCAGGAAGTCAGTGGAGTGCACCCCAATCTTACATTTGTCCCGTTTTAATTTAAGGCCTGCTCTTCAGAAACGAAGCAACACAGCCTTTAACCGCTCAGCCAGCATTTGTGGAGAGTCACCTGCGATGAGAACATCATCAAAATAAGGACACACGCCAGGAATACCCCTCAGGGTGTTTTCCATTACACTCTGAAAAATGCCAGGAGCGACATTCACCCCAAACTGTAACCTCTTCACCTTGAAAGCCCCCCGATGGGTGACAATAGTTTGGGCCTCAGCTGCTGCATCATCAGCAGGCAGCTGTTGATATGCTTGAACCAGATCAAGCTTAGCAAAAAATTTTCCTTCCTTGAGAGAAGCTAGAATGTGGCTCACTACAGGCACAGGGTAAGCATGTTGCTGTAGGGCCTTGTTTAGAGTGCACTTGTAGTCAGCACAAATCCGGATGTCCCCGTTTTCCTTTAAAGGCGTTACAATGGGGGTTTCCCACGGGCTGGAATCTACAGGCTCTAGAATGCCTTGCTGGAGCAACTTGTCCAGTTCAGCATCAATCTTACTCTTAAGAGCAAATGGTACTCTCCTAGGTTTAACCCTGATGGGCTGTACCGTTGGATCTAGCTTAAGTGAAACAGGAGGTCCTGTGTAGGACCCTAGTTCAGAACTGAACACATCTGCAAACTCCTTGCATACGTCTGCAAGGGTCTCTGTTTGCAATTTATGTAGCCCTGTTACTTGTATTCCCAAGGCCTCAAACCAATCGAGTCCGATGAGACTCGTTCGCTCACCCCCCACAACCATCACGTCTAGGGGGCCTGCAAAATTCTTGTACTGTACCTTAAGGGTGGCCTCCCCCTTAACGCACACTTGAGAATTTTGGAAATCCGTAAGGATTACATTAGAGGGCCTTAACGAAACTCTCTGGCCACTGCTGCTGCAGATTTTGTGAAATGTGTTGAGGGAAATTATGGATAGGGCAGACCCCGTGTCAAGTTCCATC